GGGGTCTTAAAAGCTTGCAAGTGGCCATACAAGGCACAACAATTGGTCTCTATTCACTTGGAGCAACAAAGGAAGAAGGAGCATCAGGAATGGAAAGAGAATATGGAATGTATGGCTAATTGCCTCCATGAACAATTGCCTCCTTTGCCATGAGACCAGAAGAACTGGATGGTACCCAGCTACCATTACTGAACACTCTGATGAAAAATTCTATAGAAAAATCTTAATCAAAAGGGGGAAAATGCAGAACAGAATTCAAATTCTCATGAACTCCAGTCTTCCTGGAGCCATGAAGTTTGGATGAACCCCTGAAACTGTTGCCCTGAGATAATCTTTCAACCTTAAACGAAAAATATTCCCTAAAGTCATCTCAAAACCAAACAATAGTTTGGCTTAACTGGTAAAAAATGCCTGCTTTGAGCATTATCCTTTTTAAAGAACTATCTGTATGGGATCAAATTGACAACAGCAACTTGAAAGTTTAGATGGGAACCTTAGGGAGCAGTGAATTTATGTTAACGAGGAAGGAACAGCTCAGAAAAGGAAGGTGAGGATGGTTGCACAACTTGAAGAATGTAATTAATGTCACTAAATGGTATATGTAGAAACTGTTGAACTGGTGTATGTTTTGCCCTGTATATTCTCAACAACAACAACAAAATAAATAAAATTATATTAAAAAAAAGAAAGAAGAGGAAAGAAAGGAGCATTTTCTGGCAGACATGTCTTGCACCAGATTTTGTAAGAGGACAAAAGTTGGCAGAGGAAAGTGGAGGAGCACATCCAAAGACACAGAGATAAGGCTATCTTGCATGGATATACATTTGTGTATTTGAAGTGGAGAAACCATTAATAGGCCTAAGTATTTATGGATGCAAATCGAGTACCCGACATGCAAATTAAAATGTTGTGAGAAGGAAGTGAGTCAATATGATGTAGTGATCAAGGCATACTGCCAGATACCTGAACCAGTAGGGGTTCCATTAGCAAAGAGGAAGGGGCACTTTCTGGGTAAACAACAACAGTGTCTGTATCGATAAAAAGGGAAGAATAATATTTATCTTGTATAGTTGTTGTAAGGATTATATCACCTGGAACAGAGTAGGTACTCAATAAGTGTTTGCTGTGGTTTTTCTGAGCACTCTATGATTATGTTTTAGGGCTTATGAATATCCTGTTTTGGGACAATGTGGCATATTAGCTCTGTTTTGGTGTATTAATTCAAAATGTGACTGGCACATAATAGGTACTTATAAAAATCTGTCAAATGAATGAAGGAAGGAAGGAATACATTTTCATTCTCTTCTAGGATAACGTAGAAGAGAACATAAAAGTCTACATTGGGCCTTGTGGAAAGGTCTGCTTAAGTCATTAATCAAGTTAGCTGGAAGAACACAGAAAAAGTGTAATACTGATTTCAAGAAAGAGATGTTGTCCTACATCATGTAAGTACCAAGAAGATAAATTTAATAGTGGTGATGGTGTGCTCCGAAAGGCAAAATACTCTTCCAGGCTACTTTCAGTTGTTACTGACTTTATAGCTGTGTTTCAGTAAAGTTATTGAACTAAGAATTGTCCAAGAAAATTTTGGTCCTCAAAATTTCTTGATTTTCTTCTTCAACTTGTAAGAATGCACTTTCTTTAGCAATATTTTAATGATATAGAACAAATATCTGATATGAATGGATAAATAGATTTAACCTCTGGTTTCATAAAACAGACCATGACCCACGCTACTTGTAAGCAAAAATGCAAATTATACCTTTAGTAAATGGAGGACTAAGGGCTCAGTAAATGGTAGCTGTTATTATTACACTAAAAAAAAAAAAAACAAAAAACAAAAACCCACCAGCCCTCTTCAATTCCTATTTTCTCTCAATTTTATTTCTGAATAGAGCCCAGAATTTCCCAAAATATGTTCCATGGAAGACTACATCTGTGAAATGTAACTAAGTGTGACATTAAAAAAAGGGTTCTGAGATTCAATAAAATCAGGAAGCCCTAAAGCAAAGATACCACTTTGATGACTAAGGTGCGCCTGACCCAAGCCATGATCTTTTTAATCTCCTTATATGCATGCGAAAGCTAGATGATGAAAAAAGAAGACAGAAGCATTCAAACTGTGGTGTTGGCAAAGAATACTGAATATATTGTGGACTGCCAGGAGAACAAGCAAAACAGTCTTAGAAGAAATACAATCAGAATGCTCCTTAGACGCGAGGATGGCGAGACTTCATCTTGCTTGCTTTGGATGCGTCATCAGGAAAGACCAATCACTAAAAAAGGATATTGTGGTTGGTAAAGTAAAAGGTCAGCAAAAACGAAGAAAACCCTCAATGAGATGGACTGACACAATAGCCAAAACAATGGACTGAAGCATAACAATGATCATGAAGATGCTGCAAGACCAAGGACTGTTTGTTCTATTATATATAAGGTTGCGGAGTCAGAGCCCACTGGAGGGCAACTAAGAACAACAACAAGTTAACAAAGATACACTTTTTTACTGTGGAATTTGTCATTTTCTATGTTAATGTGTGGCATTATGTGCCCTGTGAATCTCCAAGAGGAAGCTCCAGTGCAGCGTTTCTCAACTGTTTCTTTGTTAACACCCCTCCTCCCCAAGGAATCTTTTTAAATTTTTTTTTCCTAAATGCCTCCCCACACTGAAATTATATACTCAGAAATAAGATTTTGTTGGGTAGAGAATTGCTTTGAAGGGTCACACCCCACTGTACTAAGACTTTTTTGCCCCCTAAGAACCAGGGGCGATATCACCCCCTTTGAAAGTGCATGCTCAAGTGTGAAATGCTTCCCAAACTTATCTCACCTCCTGGACCCGGGAACACACTTTGGGAAATTGTAATTTGCTCAGCATGGGATTTTTTTTAACACTTATTCTCTTATGACTCAAGGAGAGTCTTCTCTTTAATCCTGAAATTCCGGGTAGAAGACTAGAATAAGGACAGGAATTCAGTAAAGACTTGTTGATTGAGAAAACCTTCATCTGCCTCTGCTCTCCCTTCTTACTATTGTCTCTAGTTTGTGGTTGGCATAGTGGTTAAGAGCTACAGCTGCTTATCAGAAAGTCAACAGTTTGAATCCAGCAGCCACTCCTTGGAAACCCTATGGGGCAGTTCTACTCTGTCCTGTAGGGTCTCTATGAGATGGAATCAACTTAATGGTAATGGGTAACTTTTTTTTTTTTTCTTTTTAAAGTTACCGTATAACAAAGTGTATAACGTGCTCTGATTTTTTTTTTTCTGGAAGTGTTTATTAGATTAAAGGCATAAACATTTTTAAAGCTTTTAATAGTGTTTCCAAATTATTTTTCAGAAAATTGGGGTGCACTAATCCTAAGTATACAGCTATGAATTTTCATAGTTTTATATACCACCCAGTTAAGGATATAAGTATTGAATTCTTGATCAGAGAACCTTAATAAAAAAAAAATCTTTGATCTCCCATCATCCGCTTATTGTGGTATTCAAACTTTAGTGAAGAATCCACTTAGGTAGCTTACTAAAGTTGCAAATTCCTACTCTCAGAGATTCACATACATAGGGTCTGGGGTAGGATCTTAGATTTTAAATAAGGCATTCCAGGTGATTCTGATGCAGGCGGTCCATGGATCACACTTTTGAGAAAATTGGCCTGCCTTAAAGGATAAAAGTGAAAATTCTTGACCTGGCATTAAGGCGTTCTCTAATTTGACCCAATTCAATTTTTCCAGACTCAACCCTTGCTATTCCCTTTCTAGTTTCCACCATGTTGAATTACTCACCTCTCCTCAAAAGGCCATGCACTCATGTTTCCCTTAGCCTGGAATTACCTTTCCATTTTTCTTCTCTACATGGTAAACTCCTACTAATCCTTCAAGACCCAGCTACATTGTCACTTCCTCTGGGAAGTCTTCTTAAACTAATCTCATCAGACAGAATTAGTTGCCCCCTCTTCATTGTTCATCCAGCAATTTATTGAAAATTCTGTTATAATACTTATCACACAGTACTGATTTTATTGTTTGTTTGTTTCCTTTAGAAGTAAGCAAAAATACGTCTGGTTCTTTGCTAAACCTTTAACCCTGCACAGGGCCCAGGATAAAGTGGATGAATGAATGAATGAATGCTTTTGATTTAAACTTGGTGCCACTGTAGTCATCATTTTCTAGGCCAATGGGACTGCAAGCTCCCTAACGGAAGGGACAGTTTCTAATTCACTTTCATAGTCTTCAAAATCATGCCAGGTACTCAGCAGTCAGTGAAAAAATTCCATCCGATCCCATGAACGGCAGTAATCAGTACCTCCCCTCTTCCAATTTAGTGAATATCTCCATGCTTCGTAAGTCTCCATTACAACTCTTAGAGAGAAACAGGAGTAGAGTGCGAGTGTTGTGGGGAGGTGTCATCCCATCTGACAGATAAGAATACTGTGTAAGGCTGGAAGTCGCAATACCGGCCTCCAGGTCTGACTATCTCTGCCCATTCCCTCCATGGAACACTCTGTTGCCATGGAGACGACCATTATCCTAGCTAGCACAGCTGGTTGAGAACTCTAGGAAGGCCTCTCAGGAAGGCAACGGTGCATGGCGATTCCTCGCCCCCTCGCCCACCTCCTCATCTATTTACTTGCTTATTCCTGTGTTTACTCATGTTTGTACATGTTGATTTATTTTTTTAGGATTTTTGTGGAGGACTAGGCTGCCGAGCTGGACAAAAGCCATGTGGACACGGAAAACTTACCCACCGCCCAAGGTAAGGTCTAGAGATGACTGACCATTGGTGGGTAAAGGCGAAGGATAGGGTCTCTGTAGTTACCGGAGCCCATTCCCCTAAAGGCGTGAGGGAGGGGCTGAGGGCTGTCCTGGAGCTGAAGGGGGCGGGGCGACACAGCCTACTTAACCTCTTTAGCGGCCTAACCCACGCACAAACCTATTGGGCTAGCGTTGCGCAGGCGCAGGCAGAGCGCGCGGGAAGGAACTCTGCTGGGCTCATCCTCACCTGGACCGTTGGGTTGGCGGAACTCGAGGGAGGAGTTCACCACGCATGCGCACCTGCTCAGGTGGTCCCTGAGGGTGTAGACAGAAGACAAAGGCGGCGCCTGACAGGAAGACCAGTTGCTTAAAGGAAGTGTCTGCTTAGGCAGAGCCTGGCCATGTGTGATGCTGACGGTTACCGAGCCCAGCGGGCGAGAATCCTAGGCCAACACCTGGGCAGGCCTTGGGCGGCGGTGGCCCTGGAGGAATACAGTTGCCAGTACGGCTCGCCCAAGTACCTGATGCTGTGCGGCCTGGGCGGGATGCTGAGCTGCGGGCTGACGCACACGGCCATCGTGCCCCTGGACCTGGTCAAGTGCCGCATGCAGGTGGATCCCAGCAAGTACAAGGGCATCGTCAGCGGCTTCGGAGTGACGGTGCGCGACGGCGGGCTCCGCGGCCTGGCCCGAGGCTGGGCCCCGACCTTCTTCGGCTACTCCATGCAGGGCCTCTTCAAGTTCGGCCTCTACGAGGTTTTCAAGATCCGCTACTCGCAGCTCCTGGGCGAGGAGAAGGCCTACCTGTGGAGGACCAGCCTCTACCTGGCTGCCTCGGCCAGCGCCGAGTTCTTCGCCGACATCGCCCTGGCGCCCATGGAGGCCATCAAAGTCCGCATCCAGACGCAGCCGGGCTACGCCAGCACCCTCCGGGAGGCGGCCCCGCGGATGTACAGCGAGGAGGGCCTCTGGGCCTTCTACAAGGGCGTCTCGCCGCTGTGGATGCGGCAGATCCCCTACACCATGATGAAGTTCGCCTGTTTCGAGCGCACCGTGGAGGCGCTCTACAAATACGCCATCCCCAAGCCTCAGAGCCAGTGCACCAAAGCCGAGCAGCTGGGGGTGACCTTCGTGGCCGGCTACATCGCCGGCGTCTTCTGCGCCATCGTGTCCCATCCGGCAGATTCCGTCGTGTCCGTTTTGAACAAGGAGAAAGGCAGCACGGCCTTTGGAGTTCTTAAAACACTGGGGTTTGGGGGCGTGTGGAAGGGCCTGTCCGCTCGGATCATCATGATCGGCACGCTGACGGCGCTCCAGTGGTTCATTTACGACTCGGTGAAGGTTTATTTCAAGCTGCCTCGCCCTCCAGTTGCTCAAATGCCAGAGTCTCTAAAGAAGAAGAGTAGGCGTTAATCTGTGAAGTACTGTAGGCTCGACTGGTCACTATTTCGATCAAGTGGTGAACTGCGTTCAAGCAAGTCTGGTGTATAGAAGAATGTTAACGGTTTTTAGAGAGGTGGCTTAATATGCAGCCCACGTGCTCTTTCAAGGACTGATTCCTTCATTTTGGCAATCAAAGAGGATTGCAAACATTTCATTTGGGAGATTTGAACCATTATCTTTGGGAAGTTTGCATGGTTGCTTTAACTTAATAGCTTTTCAACAATTAGAAGAAAAGAGATTCTTAACAGATAGCAATGTTAGGTAATGTAGAGTTTCTAGATTGTACCTTCTCTGACTCACTATTTCTGGGCCATTATCCAAGAGTAACTACTGAATAGCCTACAAGTGAGGCTTTGGGGTCAGCACAATTATATGGGATGGGAAACAAAGTAAAATTCTGGTACATACTATTAATCTCAATAGAAATTTTACCCCTATTGAATAGATGAAGAATTCACGCCACATTTCCCGTTCATGTCCATTACAGGTAAAAATTATTGAAAGTTAAATTGTGAAATATATTGCCTAATGGCTTAGAACGTATTAACTGCTTTCAAAGAGACATGAGAAAAGCTGCATTTTTTCATTTTGCTTTCTCCAGTTCTCTTCCGGATGTTGCTGATTAGAACATAGCTCTCTCCAGGAAGTGATAAAATTGGATCAATGTGGACAGCCAAAATGAGAGATGAAGGACAGGCTCTGGGAATAAATATGTAAAGAAAAAAGCCTCTGTTCACCAAAGATTTCTTTTGTATGACTCAACTTTCAAAAGCCATACATCCAAAGAAGACATGCCACCCTGACCAAAAAAAAAAAAAAAAAAAAACCCAACTGCAAATTCCAATAATTTTTGGTTGAATATTAAAGAATGGTTTTGTTGTCACTGGAAGGAAAATCTAATTTTTAATGTAATAAGTGTCTTTCATTTAATTTGGTGGTGGCTGTTTCTGTGATTTTTATAATGGTTGAGGTTCATAAAATTTATTAAAGTTATAAGGCACATTTTTGGTTCTCTGTAGCTTTCACATCTCTCATTGGGGAAATTTCAAAGTCAGTGAAATTCTGTGAATCAGAGGTATTTGTAAAATGTGAATAAGAAATAAACTGCAACATACTATGTGATATAATTTACCAAAATGTTACATGATTGCCTTACAAAGAGTACAAACTTAGAATATGTTAATGTTTTAACTTTGTAATAGTAAACTGTTTAGTATGTAATAGATGTTAAAAGGTGTCTAGATTTAAGTAAGTATGTTGGAACTGTCTTGATTGGATAATAAAGAGCTTGGAGGAAAAAAGTTGTCAGAACTTGTGAATGAGATGAAATGAAACTGATTTATATTTAGTACTCCTATTTTATTTTTTATGTGGGGAGAGATAAAGGGGAAGGATCCTTATCATTAAAACATTTCAGCTTTTCTTAGGAGGTTAGAGTCCAGGTTTTTGAAGAAAAAAAAAGATTCTTAATGAGGAGAATGATTAATAATAAACAATAATTTAAAGGAACTTAATTTTGCAGGTCTATTTTTCCAAAATTTTAAAACACATTCCTGTCTAGTGTTGTCTTATAAAATGTTTGTACGAAGTTTTCTTTTGGCCAGTACTTGATTAAATAAAAGGCTCTCAATGAGTAATATAGAGAATTGCTACAAAACCTATGGGAATTTCAAAATAATAAGAAACCACTTGTACTGGTCTGTGGTATTTCATAGTTATTCTGTGGCAACACCAAATAATTTCTCTAATACACACTGTGTATGTTTAGAGAAGTATAATCTAAGGAGAACTGTGCGGCATGATTCTGGCTGTCGTGGACATGGTCAAGATAGGTTTACTTATTTTAGGTCGGCAGTGTTTATGTTTAGTCCTTAGACTTCTATTCATCCCCCCCTTTTTTTTATTGGTTGTTGTTGTTATCAGGTGCTGTCAAGTTGGTTCCGACTCATAGCGACCCTATGTACAACAGAACGAAACACTGCCCAGCCCAGTGCCATCCTCACAATTTCATCACAGCAACACGCAAGCCACCACAGTAAGACAAACTGACAGGCGAGTGGTGATTTTATTGGTGGCTGTTTAAAAATGTTTGTCTAAATAAACACAAATCTGGGTAGCTGACAATAAAGAATATAAGACATTTTAGAGATAACACAAGTTCAGAATCATCAAGGATTTTTTTCCCAGTCATTGTTCGTTTGGAGGAGCCCTGGTGGTGCAGTGGTTAAGAGCTACAGTTGCTAACCAAAAGGTTGGCAGCTCGAATCCACTAGCCACTTCTTGGAAACCCTATGGGGCAGTTCTACACTGTCCTATAGGGTCGCTATGAGTCAGAATTGACTCAAGGGCAACGGGTTTGGTGTTTTTCTGGTATTCTTTTGGAACAATTTAAACTTCTGTTCCACAAGTCTTTACCACTCTCTGTGAAATCATGCATACCTCTCAGAATTATAGTCATGGTATATGTCTGATATTGTTAGACATTTTATATTCATTTTCTCATATGATCCCAACAATCTTTGAAGTAGTTGTCCATTTTATATAGTAAGAAACAATGATTTATTTATTTTAATTTGTGGGACTGCCGTTTGAACAAAAGACACTTTATTCTATCACATTTTCTTCTTTCTCTCTCTCTCTTTTTCTCTAATCTTTGGTTTCTATAGCCAAGGAAGCTGGCTCAAGCTATTTATCTTTCCCCCCAGGTGGTGATTAAAGTAGCTTTCTCAAGAATATGAAATTAATTTCATTATAGGGAGCTGTAAGCGCATCCATTGATCTGTCTTTTGAGAAGTGAATGAATGGAGTAGGTAAAATCTTGAAAAACAAAGGTCATATTTACATGTTAATTCCACACTGATAAAGATTGGAAAGATTCAAGGTGTTGATGTTATGAGAATTTTTCCTGGTGGCACAGGTGTGTCTTTACAAAGTATTTCTTTTGAGCCTTTCAAAGACAGGAATAATCACCCAAGTCAGAAGATCACATTTTGATAGGCAGCCATTCAATTATAGTTTGCTTGGTTTATGTGGTCTTAAAGATCTTTTATTTTTTTTTAATCATGAGCAAAGAACTCTTTAAAAGGAAATTTAAATGTCAATATTGTATAGAAGACTGTCTTGCTTTCCCGAATGATGCTGTTTGGGTGTGTGAGTGGGTGAATAGGGAGGGTACTAACAATGTGAATATAACTAAGGTTTGTGTGTGTGTGTGTCTGTCTGCCTGTTTTAGTTAATATTTTTTGAGACCTTCAGTGGTAAAGTATCCAGAATTTTAGCTTAAATTCTGCCTATGCCCCATCCTATAACACTTAACATCCAGCATTGTGATAGACCTCAAAACCATTAGGTTTTCTCTTTCTTCAGGGCAGGTGCAAGAGATTGTGCCCACAGCCATGTATCTTCTCTCTGCTAGTTTAACTGACATAGCCTCCAGGTCTCAGCTTATACATCACTTTGGTGTACAACACCCTATACTTCTTTGAAGAGTTTTTATAATGAACATAAAACATGGTCCCTGACATTGTGGAGCTTACAGTCTTGTCTCAAATCCATTGCTGTCGAGGTGATTCCGACTCAGCGACCCATAGGGCAGAGTAGAACTGCCCCATAGGGTCTCCAAGGCTGTATATCATTATGGAAGCAGACTGTCACATCTTTCTCCTGCGGAGAAGCTAGTGGATTAGAACCACTGACCTTTCAGTTAGCAGCTGAGCACTTAACCACTGTACTACCAGGGCTCTAGTAGGAAAGATAAATTGCAATTGTGCAAAATCTGCAAAGAAGTATAGGGTGTTGTAGATGAAAGTGATGTATAAGAGGGTGGAGCCAACATAGCGCTATAGACAGAAA